AGGGAAATAAGATGCAGTCTGTTAAGTACAGTGATTGAGATAAGTGCAAGAGTGAGTGCACAGAGGAGGGGGGTTCTATCTTTGTTTTATATTGCTGATTTAGTTTAGTTTATTTCTGGAGCATCTTGATACATCAAATGAACTTTTTATGAGGCAGACTCAGCTTATTCCATATGCTTCTCTTCCAGAATCTTTCTCCATCAGTCACTGTTGGACCCAGTGGCTTTGAGAGTCACAGGTCGCCTTTCATCACACCGAAGACGTACACAGTCTTGGGTCCATTTATCTATTTCCTTTGGTGTCATGGCCACCAGGGAACGTGGTGTATATTGTGTTCTAGTTTTTTGTTTGTTTGTTTGTCTTTTTGCAGGAGCATTCTTCCCTTCCATTTTCTCATTAACCTATCACATGTGGGAGCTCCTGTTTGGCCCAGCCCAGTGGCATCCTCTTTTACAAATGCGGACTGTTTCCCGCAAGTCTGTGGTTTGATTATTCACCTCCCAGCAGTGGACATCCTTCAGCCACCAGGACCTGTCACATCTCTTTTTTACTGAACTTTTCTATCTAGTCAAACCCTGCACAGTTCACAATCTAGACATTTAGTACATATTCTTCTTATATAAGAACTGATAATACATATTCTTTTATGTGTGTGTACAAAATGGCCTTCAACATCTACATCAAGCATGCCTGTCAAGTATTCTCCTTGTATGATTACTGATCATAACATTTAGTCAGATCTTATTTTAACATATTCATAAATAATTGCTAAATCCAGGGGAGTTTTCAGTCCTTCTGCTGGACAACTTTGTTGAGGTGATATTACCTTAATGATGCATATGTGCATTACCTCCCCACCTGTCAGTCAGAAAAATACATAACCCAAAAACATATATGTAGGAAAACTGAAGAATTCAGAAAATGATTCATAGCTTTCTATTAAACTGAGCTTTAAACTAGCATTTGAGCAAATAATAAAAACTACAGAAGCTGATAATAATGCTGCCTAGTATTTAACACAAAGATAATGTTTCTTTTGCATGTTGTATTTAGATATTATAATAAAGAGAATAGTCTCCTGAAGAAAGAAAGATATGGGTTTTTTTTTTGTGTGTGTGTGTGTATATATATATATATATATATATATATATATATATATATATACATACATACACACACACACAGCATAAAAAAGTTTTATATTGGGCTTCCCTGGTGGCGCAGTAGTTGAGAGTCCGCCTGCTGATGCAGGGGACACGGGTTCATGCCCCGGTCTGGGAAGATCCCACATGCCGCGGAGTGGCTAGGCCCATGAGCCATGGCCGCTGGGCCTGCGTGTCCGGAGCCTGTGCTCCGCAACGGGAGAGGCCACAACAGTGAGAGGCCCACATACTGCAAAAAAAAAAAAGTTTTATGTTAAACAAAGGAGCATTTGGAGCTAATGCCAAAATGTACATTGTTTTAGTGGTTGCAACCAAGATGTTTAATTGTATTGATTTTCTTATATGTAAAATGCAGTAATACCACCATTTCTATTAGTAATCGTTAGGATACTTATAAAAATTCTTAAAAAATTAAAATGCATGTGCTAATTTGATACCTAAAATATGTTAAATTCCAATTTTTAAAAAAGCATGGCAAACAAAGCACTTGTGATGTAACCTCAGCCTACCTCTCCAGTCTCATGGCTGGACACTCTACTTCTCAATTTAATTTTATCTGCTACTCGTGTTTGTGCATATACATGCTAAATGGATCAACACTTCTGTGCTTTTGATTTTGCTGTCTCTTCTTTCTAGCCACTTTATTCTCATTTCAAGGCAGAGTTCAGGCTCCTGAAATTCTGCTTACTTGGGTTGGATGCTTGATAATATCCTGTGCATAGCTTGACCACTTTGTTTTCTACACTGCCTTATTCTATTTCTATCTCCCTTCTTGAATATGAGCTTCTTGATGACAAGGATTATGTTTAGTGCCTAGTGTGATACCTTAAACATTGTGTCCTGTCAGTATATGCTAATGGAATTAATAATTTTATATATCAGAAACTTTTATGAGTATCTAATAGGAAAAATGACATCATTTCATTTTACATTGGAAAAATTAAGTGACTTGGATAAAGCCAGTGAAGTTAATATATCCATGCTGGTATTAGTCCCCAGTGCTCCTGTGTGTAAGGTAAAACATTTATTACATATGTGATCACATATGGAGGTATCTTTTTCTTTATTTTAATGTCTAAATATACTACTATGAAATCAGTCTCTCTACTTACCTTAAGTGCTAAGCAGTATTAGACCATTTCCTTAGCATTAGAGTTTAACGTCTGACTTTTGCAAGGAGATTATATGACCTGTTTGGTTGCATGTTTATTTTTGTGCTATCTACTCTTCTGATTGACAGTTTGTTGAGGGTAGGGAAGGGAGAAGGATGTTGTGGGGGACTGCATGTACATGATTATGGCAGAGTTAAATAATGGAAAATCCATGGACTTTGGAGTCTAATCTGCTGTTTAGTAGGTGCTGAATACTAAGCAAATGATTTATCCTCTTTGTGCATCAGTTTCCTCATCCATAAGATGGGGATAGCAATATATGCTTCAAGTATTGCTGAGATCAAAAGAAATAATGAGTATAAAGCATCTAATGCAGTGCCAGACATACATTAGGTGCCTGAGATATGGTAACTTATTATTTGTGAGCTATAGTATATAGTGCATGGTGCATCTATGAAATTTCTGAATTTAAATGTTCTGGGTTTCTCAAGTTTGAGTGTCCTAATTCAGCCCTAATACATATCCCAGTTCAGCTGGTTAATGTTTTCTCTCCCTTTACTTTTGACTTACTGATCTATCACTGATGCTGGATTGGAAAAATTATTTTATTTTTCCTTAATTTTTATTTTCAATATTTTGTTCCAACTTCAGGCAAAAAACGGGGTCCAAGAAATGGAGTGTTGTTCTCTAGAATCTGACTGGATCTATTTCCATCCTGATGCTTCTGGTAGAATAATACATGTTGGCCCAAATCAGGTCAAGTGAGTATTTTCCTTAGTTACTTTAAAGTTAAAAGTAGCCTTTGGTAATATTTATTGGCATCTTTATTTTTGCCAGCTAACTACTGAGCAAATTGTGGAAATAATTAACTTGTTGTAGGGTGCTTCCTCAGAGAATGGCATCTAGAAAACCTGACTTTATTCTTTCAACCTCATCATTACTGTTTGTAAATATTACATTTGAGTAAGTTCTTTGTTGGATGATAGATGACGTGTGAGGAAAAGGAGATTACATATTGGTTCATCCTCATCAGGTCTTAATTCATTCTCCAGGATTAATGAGAGAGATGATTTATCTATGTTCTAAAAGACAGCCTTACTGCTGGAGAAGCAGCAGGTTGTTTGAAGTAAATCTTGTATTTAGTTTACCCACATCTTCCACACAGTTGACCTCTCCTTCCTTGAAACACTCTTCATTTGGCTTCCCTGACACCACAGTGCTCCTGAATATTTTCTTCCGTCTCTGATCTGTCTTTCTTAGTATCCATTCACGTTCTTTATCTTCTACTCAGACTTTAAGTCCTCAGGACTTAGACCCTCTTTTCTCACTCTTCGTTCCCTTTCTGCTTGATTCTCCTGTTTATTCCCTTGGCTTTAAAGATCATGTATACACCAAAACTCCAAAATTTCTCTTAGCACAAACGTCTCATCTAAGTTTATGTCATAAGTCTGGAATCATTCTTGACACTTTCTTACCTTCTTGTCTTTCATCAGTATACGTGTACTTAAACACTCACTCGCATTTTCTCTCTCTCTCTCAAACACACACACACACACACACACACACACACACACACACACACACAGAGACACGCACCATATATCCCATCAATCCAGTTTATTTTGCTACTAAACATTTCTTAAATCTGCCTCTTTCTGCCCTTGGCCACTGTCACCACCTTGGTCAGATCATTGTCATCACTAGCCTAGACTATAATAGTTGCCTTCTTACAGGACTCCAAGAATCTACTTTTTACTCTTTAAGTCTGTTTTCTTCTCAGCAGCTAGAGTGATTTTTAGAAACATTAACAAACACAAAAACCTAACCAAGTGAATTCTGCTTTAACCTTTTTATGACCTCCTATTGCGCTTAAGGTAAAGACCAACATACTTAGCTGGTCTAAAAGATTCCTCCCACTCAGTTTACTTCAGTCATGCTGTCTTTTCACAAAGCTGAGGACCTGTTCCCTCTATTTGAAGTCTGTTTCCCCTACCTGTTTTGCCTAATTTCTATTCATATTTTATGCCCCCTTAAATGTCCCTTTTTCAAAGAGTGCTTCCCTGGCACCCTTCATTAGATTAGCTGCCCCATCATATTTTCACTCTACCCACTATGTAATCTTCTGTAGCACTTACAGCAATTTAAATTAACTATTTATATGATTATCTATTTGAATATCTAGGTTGGGAATCATGAGCCCCATGA